ATTGTTTCCTCTGAACTGTGTGCACAAGTCTGTATAAAGGTGGAAGTTAGCCTCCAAAGCACCTGTGCTGTAAGCATCTGTGGTAGAGGTCTTTAGCTGTTTTTTCTTATTTTCCTGCCTTTTTATTTATGTTTTTTCCGCAACAAGTTCTGTGAAAATCAATGACGAAAGATACTCGTACAGCAGGAAACCAGGTATGTAACTGAGAGGAAGGGAAGAGACCGTGTCAAGGCAGGAGATTTCTTGATCAAACATAACTACTGCATTCCCCAAAGAAAAAGACAGTTATTTTTTCCAAGCTTTTTATCCTCTCTTCCTCCTGTATTTTACTAAAATGCTTTTCAGATACTTTAAGTGGAAGCCTTTGGTAGTCACACACACACAGATGCAGAGCTAAGGCATTATTAGCTGAAGTAGGATGATGTTTCTGAGTATGAGTGAAGTGAGGGAAAAATGATCAGCTTCATAGTTTCTACATATGAAATTTTGGAATTGTGACTTTTTTTTTTTCCGTGCACTTGAAATTTTTCTTGCTATTAATAATATTTTTTTATTTTTCTCCAAAAGCAAAGCAGACGTAGGGGAGGACAGTATGTGTGATTGCATGATGACTGTTATGATCCTGAGAAGAATCAGTACAAACTTTCAAGTACACACAATTGTCCAAATTTTCAACCTGATGGTCTGAGAGAACTTTTTTTTTCTTGTACAACAGTTTCTTTAGCACAGCATATTAGGTTTTGCACTTCAGACTCTTTCGTGTATCTGAACTGGACATCCTATAGAAAGATTTATAAATGCAGTGTGTCTAATAAATCCCAGAGAGACCTGATATTCTTGTTCTTGTTGTTCATCAGTGCACATGAGAAGGAAACTACTATCCTGTACTGATGTAATCCTATCATTGTAGACAAAATAGTAATTTGTATAACTTCCCATACTATAGCATATGCAAACATAGAATTTTGTAGCAATTGTCAAATGAAGCACAGGTGTTGTAAGTGTTACTTTAAATTTGGAAAAAAGTAATAATTTGGCAGAAGAAAAGCAAAAAGCATCAATTTCACAGACATAACAGGCAGCAGCTAGTACTTATTTGATTTCATATTGTACATGCCTGAAATATGGAATCACATCAGTGTATGGGTTGAGTTTAATTTCAGTTTGGTGAACTCTTGCATGGTTGCACCCAGGTGTCGTTCATTTTTTGGTCTTCTAGAAAGTTTTCCTTCAAAGACTTCTGGGAACCCTGTATGTATGAAGGTGTCATTAACTGCAACCTGTTGATAGCCTGTTTTGCCTTCTTATCCAATGGAGCAGGTCAAAACCTGCCAGCAATTTTGAGGTACACAAGTAGTATTTCCCCCACCCCACCCCTGAAACCGTTGTAGTTCATTCTGCCAAGCTGCATTTGCTAATGAACACTGCTCACATTCTTGCATATTAACCAAATCAAGACTCTCAAAACAATCTCATTTGGCCAATCATAGCAAAGTAACAGCTTTAATTGCAAATGTTCAAAATCATGCAGAAAAATAAAAGCTTTATTAAAAAAAAAAAAGAAAGAAAAAAGGTCATAGCAATCATAACAATCAACTCTGTTTTCTTCTGTACTTCAGTCACTCTATATGATTAAAAAGTTGGATGTTTGTTAAAGAAAGCAGTTGCAATAGAAGTAGCACAGTTGGTTTGTTACGTTCTGCAAACTGTAAAGGCTAGAGAGGCATTATTACTTTCTAGATCTTTCCAAACAAACATGCAGGTCTGCAGTTCATATATGTGTTGTACCTTAACAGCATAATGTGACTATTCCTGACTGCCTTGAGATTTAATCTAAAAGTAATTTAAGTAGGTGTTAAGTTTTAAATGCATTATAAATGTTCTAATTTTAACTCAAATGTATTCTATATACTTCAATAAACTGAAGTTTTATTACGTGTGAATTTCAGTATATCAAGAAGAAATAACAAAGAACTGTGAAGATGGTAATTTAATCCAGATAAACAGTCTTCTCTTTAAATTTCTGCTAAATTGCACAAAGTACTTTTTCTTATGAAAATATTGACAGTGTTATTAATTACTTGTGTTTATTAATTACTATCTTAAAGTTTAGAGTGATGGTTATAAATGGCAGGAGGCACAAATATATACAAGTAACAGTACTGATGCTACCTATTTAGTCAGAGGATGGGTGGGACGTTCTCTCTGACCAGCTGGTCAGAAAGTAAAAGAATATTTAAGAAGTGACTATATAGGAGCAATAAAAGCTTGCCTGCACACTAGTCTAGCACAGTGGGAGACTTACTTTAATTGGTGAACGTATTAAATCTTTCTGTTGATGTAGTGTAATTAGATGGGAGAGTGGTCTTGCTGGTTAGGTTATTTAATTTACTGTATTTTATATGCTTCAGTTACAACTATTTTCACAGCAATATCCATTGGGAAAAGCAGAGTTAAATATTACTGTATTGATTAATTAATCTGAAGAATGTTGTTACTATTAAAGTTCAAAAGTTGAAAAGCAACAGTGATCGTTAATCATTTCTGTAAGTGGTTTTGAGGGCAGGTGGCTATTTTATTTTTCAGTTACACTTGGCATGTCCCTGCCGAGAAATTTTTTGTTGGTGGTGATTTTTTTTAAGAAATGTCACTTTCAACAATAACATGAAAAGGCCAAGAGAAAGCATATTAACCAGGTTTATTTTCTCCTTTAACAATGATTTTTTTGTCCTTACAATTTACAGTATTCTTGCATACCATTTTGAAGGGTATGCAAGCTGAGGAACATGTAGAAGGATGTCTTTTCTTTCTCCATTTGCATATCAGTTTTGTTCTGACCTTATTCTCACCTCATGTTTTCCACAAATAAGAATGGAAGTAGCCTTGCATGCTGATTCTCCCTAAATTGCTAGAGATAAAAATAGCTTTTGGAAGTGCAGTCCTATTATCCCCATGGTGGGCTACCAAACTTTTCAGTTCTAAAGCCTTCCGAGGTAGTAAGATCATCACTGAAACAGACCAACAAGTGGTTTATAATCTCTTTTGCATTGAAGCATTATATTCTTACTAGTATATTAAGTGGTGTTATTTTATCAGTGTGGTGGTCTATACTGTGCATGTGCATTACAGAAATGTTAACAGTGCTGCTATAAAATGTTCTGGTAGTATAATTTATTTTTCATGTATTAAATTCTAGCATGCAGATTGGATTAATGGGGTTTTTTCCCTTCAAAGAGGCAGCTGTTTCACTGCAAAGGAATAGAGATTGTGTGTGTTGTAAAATAGGATGAACTTTTGCAACTGAGTAGAATGTTTTTTCTTTCATTCATATAATGCGAGCTATTTTACAGAGTATTGCGAATATGTCTCAGAGGTAATCAAAGCTATTTTGCATGTATGCTGTCAGAAATCTGATTTAGTAATTCTGATATTAGCCACAATAAACATCAAAATGATGAATTTTAACTGCCAATATTTGACATTCAAATGTAGCTGTTAAGCCTTTATTCAAACTTATTTACTGTTACTGTATGTGAGGTATCAACAAGATGCAAGCAAGACTTGAAAAATACAGAAATTATTGATGTGGGCTTGCCTTCATAGACTGTCTGGAATTTAATTTGAAAATTAATGATGAAAGTGAATGCAACTCATTGTGAGTTACAAATACTTAATTCTTCTCAACTTTAAAATCTGCATTTTGACACTGAAATACTGGAGAGATCTAAAGTTAAATTTCATGTTGAGAGATGTCAACCACTGTTTTCAGGTCTAAGATTTGTAATGGTAAATTTAATTCTGTGTTCCTGAGTCAGTATATATGTGAGCAGTCTTCTGTGGCTTATTGACAGTTAACTAAAGGCTTGCTTTTAATTTTCCTTTTCTGCACGCCAGTAGAAAAAATAAGACTCTATGGAGTGTATTTTTTTTTTTTAATATACACATGTGTGTTTGTAAATGTACATCTCACTAGTATTCTCACTTGCCAGATTTATCACTCAGTGTGTCAGGAACCCACCTAATGCATGTAACAATGTAAAATCCTCACTTTTCTCAATGAAATGGAAGGAAATAGATTAGTATTAGTAAGGTTACTTTTTTTTAAACCTTGCCTACAACAGCAGCTGAATCCTACTTTGGCTTAGAGTGGGTTTTTTGCTAACAGCTTGTGTGAAAGAAGAGACGTGATTATGACTTTCCTCTCCTATAGACCCGGCTGTGACAGCAACAAAAGAAAAGTCAATATTAAAAGCTGACACACTGTTCAAGCACATGCGTAATGTTTTAAGAGAACTCTGGGAAAATTACTGATAGCCAAGGCCACTTGTTCTCCATCATTTCATAGCTACATAATTTACTATTCATATTAATTTTTTGTCTCAGTTGCATGCTTTGTAATGCAGGCTTGCTTTTCTTTTTCTGACTTTGAAAATGTGAGTTGTATGTGTACTTCTGGATAAATTTTTCCAGAGTCTGCAGACAGTCTAAGTACTGAGCTTTGAACTGTCCTGTTAATTTCCATTTTAACAAAATGTTAAAATGACAGTTTAACTTCTAATACTGCCACTTTGGAATGCCTGGACAGTTGAATGGTTATTTCTGCTTAACCACATAATTTAATGCCTGATGAATTGTGGTTCTATGACTAAATGAAAAACAAAATAGAATGTTTATAGTTTTGCAAGTTGAGATATCATTAAAAGTGTTTTAATTTCTATGAGCCATTTGCACGCAGGAGTTGGGAACATTTCTTTGTATGTAAAAACATTTCATGCTTGTCTAGGTGCATTATGGGATGTTTATTATCCTTTGAAGCATGTTGTAGGGCCGCTGGTAGTGTAATGGTGGCCTGATCTCTTATGATAACTTTGTTTCGGGAATGCAGTAATATTTATTTAACCAGAGTCCTGAACCTTAGCAATGTATTTATCTCATGGTACTTGATATTAATTTCTTCTTCTCCTTTTTTTTTTTTTCCTTTTCCTTTTCCTTTTCTTTTTCTTCTTCTTCTTCCACAATTGTAGGTAATTTTGAGGTGGTGGAAAATCTCATGTAGGAATAAATTTTGTGAATCAGGACCTGGAGAATGTAAAGAATCCCTGGAGGATTTTTTGGGTGATTCATCTCTTCAGAGTAAGATGACAATAATAATTACAAATTTGCTTTGGCATATAATGGAATAATCGATCAATATTGATCTGCAATAACCTTCATGAAAGGTGTGATTGCTTTGGCTAACAGGCTTTTTTTATATTAATTTATTAATATAAATTAATGTATGAATACTGGAAAAACAAAAACACGACAGTAAATGTAAATATAGGATAAATCCCAGCAACAGTGGTAGTTTCATTATAAGACAATGACAGAAGTATTGGCAACAAAAATAGGCCAGAAAGCAATATTTGTATTGCTAATAACTCAGTCTTTATAATCCTCTGTGCCAGCACTTTTGTTTTTATGGCTGTGTCATGAGCCACTTGGATTCCCAATCTGATTTAATGTAGGTAACACCAAGTGCAACAGGTACTTGGAATTATACAAGTGCAATGTGACTTCAGGAGCATACAGCCAGAGGAAGAAAGGCAGTTGGGGACACCACTAAATAAACATCAAAGTGGAGATTTATAGAGTTGTTTTCTAGCCTGTTCCTGATAGACTTGCCACTGAGAACATTTGAAATAATTATGCTTTTTCCCAAAGTTCCATGGGACTATGTGTCCCAAGTAGTTATTGCTCTGCATCTTCTTACAATCTTGGTTCTCAGTGATGGATTAGTTTTAAGAGATGCCCTATCACAAGATATGGTTGGGTCATGGTTCGCAGAGGAAACAGCCTCCTGAAAATACTAAGCCAAAGACACATTAATTCAGCAACTGCAGTGAATAGCTGAGGTATGACCTGGTCTGAAAATAGAGAACTTCATAACTGTACCTGCAGGGACTGGATTGAGATCTGAGGCTTTTGTGGCCCAAGAGCATAGGTAGCACTCAAACACCTTGCATTGGTGAGATTTTTTTTTTTTTCCAAAAAGCTGCTCTTGTATTCTGATTACATTCAGACAGACATAAAAAAAAAAAACAACTTTATTCACAGATGTGACTTGATATTTATCCTATTTTTATAATGAGATTGAAAGATGTCATTTCCAAATGAAGTCCTGTTTTCCTCATCAACAGCTTTGGTAGACGTCATCTTATTTACATCTAGGCAGAGGAGCTCTGCTTTCCCAAGAAGTCTATGAATCTCAGGTGGTAGAGGAGAGTGTAAAACTTTCCTCTGTAGAATATACCTTTTTCAAGAGTAAGCTTGAGTTTATCTTCATTTAGGGTCTGAAATAAGACCAACACAATGCTTCTATGCTTTGCTTATTGAAATCCAACACTTCCTACAGCACAATCAAGAGATTTTTAGCCCTGGTGAGTTAATGTGGTCTGCATTTCTATGTTTAAGTTTATATTTCTGATCTCCATTATAACTTTTGCAACTGACCAATTTCAAGTGAATTTGACTGAAATGATAACATTTCTGTGGGCAGTTGGGTAGGGAGACTGCAAGTGACTGCTGTTAGTGCTCCATTGATGGAACAGCTGCACAATCTGAGCTCAAGTGACGATATATGCACAAACCATGGAAAAAGTTTCAGTCAGCACTCACAGTCCATAACAGAACAAATCCTTAATTCCAGTTATTAGTACTTCTTTTGACTAGAATGAAGGTATCATGAACTAATAGCAAGTGGACTGCCTGTTGAATCCGGCTAGTGCTCAGGGAGTCTTTAAATATGCTATGCTTTTTTGCAGTAGGTGTTTATAATTGCGCCATTGGTTAAGGCAAAGAGCTGCACCACATTTTAATTTTACAAAATGGATTATCAATTTTTATAAACTTGAGCTTTCAAAGAAGTAGTCTTCTATACTTTTTTGACAAGAATTACACTGAATTTATTGCTGAATTTTAACAATGGGTTTTAGTGGTTTTATTTTCAAAAATTAATTTGAATTTTTTTTTTTAGTTTACCTCCTACAAGTAGATTTGATATGTGAATATATATTGGTGAGGATTTTAGCTTGTTTTTTTTTTCCTTATTGCTTATACTGTAAGATTTTACTGTGGCATTTGACATTAATATAATGTCACATGTTTGTTAAATGATGTTTTAGAATACTGGGGTACAATGATTCAAACAGTTAATTTATCATTAAGGTGCAGTTTGGTACTGTTATCCTGTGTGTTTTCAGTAGTTTACAAATAAGATCTGCCTGCTTTTTCTTGAAAAGTGTTATTGGTGGTTCAGTGGTCTTCTATCCCGTAAGTATTGAAAGCCACAGTTGCCATTCTTTCCTAACATTTAGTAATCTCTTCCTCCTTCTAAAATTATCTTTAAAATCATACGTGGGATTTTCCATCTGTTTTTAGTAAAATTTTAATATAGAAGGTGTTTGTTTTCAGAAAAATGCTAACAGAATTATTATAAATATAAAATTACTATGTTTCTAAAATGTTGTATTGTTATATTGATATTATTTCCGTCCGTAGCTCTCACTGTTCCACACAATCAGATGTCTTCAATTTCATTTTAGGGGTTTAACTGTACCTACATAAGATAAAAAGAACTACGGGGGCTCTTAATGTCAGAGCCATAACTATTTTCCCCAAAGCATACAACTGAAGCACTTTTTTCAGTCGTTTCACTAACCTCCTCCTGAGTAAATAGCACAGTCTTTATGTAAATAAATATATATGTATGTGGAAAAGTGGACAAAACAGATCTGGACAAGTTTCAGTTCAGCTTTGCTGCTGTTTTAATCTTCCTCAACTGAGACAGGAGTTTGCTGTATACTAGAAAATGTACAGTTTTTTAACTAAAGCCTTGTTTTACTGCTCTGGCTTCCTGGATGTCACTAGTAACTACTATACTATAAATTACTAATATTCTGTATAAGATATTATATGTTATTTTCTCTAGAAAACACTTAAAAATTGAGCTGACTTTTCTGGTTTTTTTTTAAGGTATCTGCGAATAATGTGGGATTATTGGGAAGAAATTTCAGGCTTTTACAAATCTGTTGTCTCTTGGGTTTGTTCGCTTTGATTTGGTTTTGGTTTTTTGTCACAGTTCAGATTGCTATAGTATTTGGTGCCCAAGTTCTGGAACATGTCCGCAATCTGTGCCAAGGTAACTATGACCTCCTGGAACGGCTTCCTGTCCCGTTGATCCTGTACATCATTTCCTTTCTGGAGCTTGAAGACATTGCCAGGCTTTCTCAAGTTTCACGCAGATATAACATGGTAAAAAAAAAAAGAATTTCTAAATTATTTTAAAATTGTTAGCTTTGCTGTGTAGCACATTGGTTGTGATTCATCTCACATTTAACATAATTATCAATCTGTCTGCTTGACTTAAAATTTGAGACAATAAATTAATCATCTGTATACAAACAACGGAATGGCTGCAATAAAAACTAGATCTTACGCTGTTAGAGAGACTGTGCTTATCCTGCAAGCATTTGTTGCATATAGTAAAGACAATGATACAGATAATTCCATTGTAACCCATAGTTGGGCATTATGCACTACTTCAAGGATTAAATATTTGAAATGTAAAAGCTATGCTTTGCATTATGATTTGTATTACTGTAATGTCTAGAAACTGCAACCACAGACCAGGATCCCCTTATGCTAGATGTATTAACAAACAAAAAAATCATTGCCATTCCTAGAGAGCTTACATTTTAAGTCTTTGACAGAAGTCAGGAGCACAAGAAAAGAGATTTTTTTTTTTCAACATTTTTGTAGGTCTTGCAGCAAGGAGCTGTAAGAAATGCAGGAGGAGAAAGAGATGATATTACACTTGCTTGCTGGGAAGCTCTTTCCAACTATCAGGAAAATACAGGAAATAGTATGAATGTGTTGAATTGAATCATTAAAAGAGTGAATAACAGAAGTTTATAAGAGCCAATGTGTGGGTACGAAAAAAATCATAGGATAACTTAGGCTGTGTTGGAAAGGCCTTTGAGACATCATCTATTCCAACTTCCCAGTCTGTAAAGAGTCAGGTAATTGGAGGGATGGAAAGATAATTTGTTAGAGCTGTGATCTAGGAAGCTTATTTTTGCAGGTCTGAATACCTCAAAATTGTGTTTTCTGTCCCAGTCAGACCAGTCAGAGCCCGAGAAAAGGCTGCTGCAGTAACTCAGTTGGGGGGGGGGGGGAGGGATTTAGCTTATTAAAAATGGGAAGAGAAGCATATTAAAGAGAAAAATAACTTGATTCTTATCCCCAGTGGTGCTGTAGGAGCCTAGAATGAAGCCTGTCAAGTTACTTATTACCATAAGTAATGGTGAGACCTTAGGAGGAAGATAAAAACAGGTTTAGTCTTTTTGAGTCTGATGTGACAGCTAGATACTCTCTGAAAGGCTTCAGAGAGACAGATTAACCTTTTAGTTTGGAAAACAGGACATGTCTCTGGTACAGATTACTTCTCCAGATTGTATCAGGATGAGATTGCACACAGGGTTTGCATTATTTTGAGGCTATATGGCCCAAGAGTTCAAGAAAAGTTCTGCATAAGACTGCTGACAGTTCAAGAGGACATGGCCATACTATTGTGCCTACGGTGTGGCTACTAAGACATTATAGATGCTTTATCAAGAGTTCAAGTGGGCACAAATAATAGGACACAGTGTAAATAAAGCACAGGAGAAAATGGCAAGATAGCAAAATAGAGTGTGTCATTAATTTAGAGATGAAGGGCAGATGGAAGCAGATAAGCTTGCTGAGTTCTGGGCTTTATTTCAGTTTGAAGATAAAACAGTTGATATTGTGACTGGGAAACAAGTGGTAGAGGATGAGAGAACGAAAACAACTTAAGAGGAAGAGAATGGATAGAAGGGAGAGCAGGAAATTATTTATATTTTCAATCCATCTGTCATTTGCAGAGTGTGAGTGGAGTAGAATGAGGTGCTGTGGAGGGCACTAAACTTTTTGTTAGTTTAACACAATGCCTTGGATATTCTGGAATTTAAGGAAATCCTAGAAAGAATTAAGTTGTGTAATAATAAAGATTAAGATTTTGGCACAATTAAATACCTACTACAACTAGTAATGCCATGCTGTCTTTCTCTCATTTCAGAAGTATTTTTAAGGAATTAAAATTTTGTCCCAACACTATGAATTTTCATTTCCAAACTAATTTATGTGCAGGCTGGAATGCTGCGCTCTGTGGAATTATAAAATAGCCTATTCAGATTTTCAAATAGGGAAAAAAAATAACAGTCTCTGAACTCAAGACTGAAAAGTGGAGTGTGAAAGGCTCCATACATCCATCCTGTGCAATGTGTCCTCATAGGCTGAACTAAACAGGTGTCTTCATTTGTTACTTGAAGCATGGCATTTTCTGACTGTGGAGCGCTGAGCATTAATCCTGCTCTCCAGAGTATCCAGATGCTTTCAATATGTGTTTCAAAGTATTTTAGATTTTCTCTAGGCACTATTTTTAAGTATTGTAAAAGAAGCCCCATCTCAAAAACAAAACCAAAAAAACCCAAAAGTACAGAAGTCCCAATGCGGATGCTGCCATTGGATTACTCTGTGACTTCTCCAGATACTTTTTAAGGAAACTTCGATATTGTGATGTCTCCCAGCGCAAGCTTAAGATAGGATTCGTTTAGTTTATTTCGTACAGGATCCTTAGATAGCCAAAACAGGCACAACTGAAGCTCTTAGTGAGCTCCGAGAGTCTGCTCCCGCCAGAGGGAGCCGGGTTCCCAGCAGAGCCAGGGTACTGGGCTGTACCGTGCGCTCCGCGGGTGCCCCGGCGGCGGGAGCGGCGGGTTGCAGAGGGGAGGGCTGCTTGATATGACGCAATTCAGGAGCCATTGAGACGGAAAGGGAACCGCAATAATGACAGGGATTTTCTTTTTTTATTTCTGTATTTTTTTTAATAGAATACTGTGTTTGGAAAGACAATTACATGATACTAAAAACCAGTCTCCACTAGTTTTAACTTAGCGGTGTCCGGTTTTGACAGGAACAGCAGAACGAGTAGAGAAAGAGTAAGCCAGAATTTAAAGAAAACTTTAAAAATGCATCTATTTTCATTTCAGGACTTCTACAGCAATTTCCCCCTAATAACCTCTGCTTTTCCTTTGCTAAAATATGGTAGCACATTGTGTGTGCCTGCAGCACAATCACAATTCCAGAACAAAAGTAGGAGCACATATACCCTGATACAGCTTTGCTGTAGTCAGTGAATTAAATAGTTTAAGGTATCCAGCTACATCAGCAGTATGTAACAGAAATTACGCCAGAACTTTTGCTTTTCTGTTTCTGCTCCTACTTGTGATGGACATACCTGCCACTTGCATTGGGGTGGTCTAGTACAGTTCTGCTTAGGTCCCTGCAATTACACATGCAGAGAAGTGGAATGTCTGGGAGAAGAATCAGTGTTACTTACGCTCTGGTATAACTTTAAATGGGCAGATCATATACACAGAGTATCTTCCTAGTTCTTTTTTTTTTTTTTTTTTTTTTTTTTTGTGTGTGTGTGTAATGGCTCCATCATCTAACAAATTACATCATTTTTTCCTTCCTGTTTATAATATACTTTTCCCAGCTGATTCCGTTTATGGAGTGATTCTGGAAGAGGGAAGCATCTCTGGAGAAACAGGCTTAATCCTTACAGTGCTTCGGAAACCTTCCTAAAATTGCATTTCTGTTATAAGTCCAAAGTCAGTTTGCTTCTTTTACTTACCTTGAGAACACATTTGTATTGGTGGTGTGATTTCTACATCCTGACAAGTTCTTTGGCATGATCTTACACAGCTTCATGGATTTCAGTGGGGCTGTATGAATTACATACTGGGAAAGTACATGGCATTACAGCTGCTTTTAGTGCGGCAGAAAGCCTTTGAAATCATACCAAAAGAAACTTCTCAAATTTTTCACAGAACAACATGCAATATCTTGTGTTGGCAATGCTGGACAAAACTTCCACTGACATCATTGTGAGTTTTAACTAATTCTGCATCTTTCAAGATAGGTGGGCAGCTTGCACTGCAAGTGACCTTCATACAAGGCATCTTGTGTTGTCTAAATACATTTTGTGTGGTAAAATCGACAATGAATGAGCCAAATTATTATTTTAAGCCTCTACTTTCTCTTACAACTAGATATGTAACGGTAATGCAGTATGGGAAAAGATTGTGGAAAAATTGTGTGATACAATTACACCTGAAATGAAAGAACGTGGACAGGAAATGGGCTGGAAACAATTCTTCTTCACAAACAGACTTCAGCTGCAGCTCCGAAGGAAGAGCCAGAAACAAGATGCTCTGAACAAAAACCTAAAGGAATGAAGATGTTTGTTTTTTGTTTTGTTTTTGTTTTATTGAAGCAATTGTTATAAGGTGTGGATTTGCTGTTTATCAGGTCAGACTTACTGACTTTTCTGCTTTACTAAGGAAAGGAGATTATTTTAAGGATTCAAAGAGGGAAAAAAAAAGTATTACTCAGAGCAACATGTAAATAATATAATGTTTAATATGTTGGGCATCCTGAAATTTTATTGCAGTCAGCATCATAACAGTTACTAGCAATAGAAAATGTTTTGGCTTCTTTTTACTCCTTCTTTCTGACTTCTTTATTTTGTATACATGCTATACATGCTCCGTGTCTTTCATCAGGTGCTATGGCATTGTCATCATTACCTTTATAGAAAACCAGCCGTAATTTCTGACTAGAAAAAGTGCTGATGAATGCTAAAGGTTTTACTGTCCACTATGGTAAATTTGCAATGTAAGTAACACATAGCTGGTTCCACAGTTTGATGTGTGCTAAAATGAAGGCAGTTCTTACATTACTCACTTACTCCAACAATCAACTTCAGTAATTAAGAAGCCAAATATTATTACTCTGAAAGTACCAGCTGATTAATGTATAATTTGCCATTGACTAGACGTAAGACCGGAGTATTAAAACTAGTGATTGCAGTATTTGAATATAAGTGTAATATTTGAAGAGTGTACTGGGTTTACAATTTTTTAACATGTCAGATATTAAACTTGAATTTTATAAATTGATTAAAAATTATGGATACCGGGTTCTTAATATAATTATATTTCTTTATAAAGCAGTATTTTAATTCTTAAAAGATATTTGCTAACTTAGATTAAGAATATTTTGTTCTACAACTATATACCAATATTCTTGAAGCATTTGGTGATTGTAGATCTTTAGATAGAAGAAACACTTTGTACGTTCTTTCCTCTTTGTAACTATTTGCTTTTAGGACATTAACATACAAATGTCACAATGTGCATAACATAGTGTATTCATAAAATTTTTGTTCAGTGTAATAAAACACTATAAAATGTAATTTTGCTTTAGAGAGATTATTTTAAGAACTATAGTATGTGAGCAGGGCTACTGAAAACCAGACCCCCTTTTCTCACTTTCGGTCAATTTACCAACAATGAATTTTTTTCTTAGCTTGTGCTGTCTTAACAGATTTAGGCAGTTTCAGGTTAGGAAAATAGAACCCATGCTAGCCGATATGGACTGAGCAAATATTGATTTTTAAATGCTAATTCAATTTGATTTTGTCAGCCCACCTTCCCTTCTCCTTGATCAACCATGTACCTGTCCCTTCTGTTACAAGAAATAAGAACAATAATTTTCCAGAAGAATCTTCATTTTTAAGCTTAAAAAAAACTTAATTAGTAAACGAACAGAAAGTGAAATTTTGTGTAATGTAAGTTTATTCCCATCATATAGCCCAATAAGGACTTCTATAGAAAGATATATTGCAGATATCATAAGTGAACAACATATTATTCATTACAGTAATATGCAAATGAAGTTGATTTTGACAAAAGATGAAGATCTAAGTATAAAGGGTACATATCTTTCAAAAGAAAAAAAAAGGAAATTGAGGGAAATAATCAGTTATATATATATATTTCACCATAAGAGAGAGCTCAATTAAAATAAACTAGCAGCAGTATTCACCAAGAAGACATTAAACTTGTAACAAAAGAACTGATGTGAAATTGTAGTTTACATTAACATTTTCTTCAACAAAAAAGAAGAAATTTAAGAAATTACTAACTTAAGAAATTACTAACTGCGTGTTCACACCATGTGTTGCAGTTCACTGCCACCTCAGGTGTTTTAATGTGAATTTTAAAGTCAGTATGTAACTATCCTATATGAATGACTTGATCTAAATCTTAAAGTAGTTGTGGTTTTCTTAAGGTTTTATTTTATAACTTGGCTCATTTCAGTGATCTATTTTAAAGTATGTCCCTGCCAACGGTTGTAGAAGTGTGAAACTACAAAGTTAGTGAATTGCAATATAGAACAATACAAGTTGAGGTTCAGAACTTTTTTTAACCAACCTTGCAGCTATAAAAAAGATCTGTATAGTGATATTATTGCATACTGAACTGTTTCCCAGTATTTGTTCAACGTAATTGAGTAGTATCAATGTTTTTTTTAAGAATTCCAGCAGCACGTATCAGTATTAAACCAAGAACCCGATTTGTCATCAAAAAACTTACATAAAGTTAGCAGGAAAAAAACCTACAGAAATTTTTATTTGATATAGGAAAATTAACATCAGACTCACCTTTCAAAGCTGAAAAAAGGATGTTTTCTACCATTATACAAAACATTCCGCATTGATTACCAAGTGCGTAAGTTGGTTTAAGAAAATTTATTTGAATATTTTAAATGGTTTTTAGCTCTTCCATGCTTTGAATTATCTAATTTTCTAGTGAATAAAGATCTCAAACACGACCAGTCTTAGATAGTTCACGATCTACATCATGAGCAGCAACACATAATTTAACACTTTTTGTTATTAAATTAACAAAACTTAGTGTGCTGTAGTCCAGTTCTTTCTAAAATTGTATTTGGACAGTTTTTCCCAACTCTGTTTAGTACTGTTTAGTTGACAAACAAGTCCCATGGAAGGAGTCGTGACAATGTTGCAAAGTTTTACAGTACTTCTAATTAGGTTAAGCAGACAGAAACTACAAAATGTTTCTGGGAATATTCTCCAGTCTGTGAATAACAATAATATTTTCCATATGTTGCCTTTTTTTGCTTTTATGCTTGCTTTACTTCAGGTGCATTAAATGTCACAGCATTTGTATTGCAACCTATGTATTGAGTATTGCTACTTTATGATGCAGTTAATACATTAAAAAATAAAATAAAAAATCCTTGAAGTAGAGAGCCATTTCTGAAAAATACAAGAACTTTTCTTCAGTTTTGCATCACAGAAATAGTAATTTTAATACACTGGATCAATTGAATTATTGTACTAGCATTTCAACAGTACTTGACCAGCCAGGTAAGAAATACAATCACTTTCTCATACTCAGTAACTAATCTTTTATCAGACAGAATACAAAGTAGGAAGGACTTTTCTAAATCATTCATATCCTGATCAAATTCTCTTGTAGGACTAGCGTAAATCAGGAGTAACTGCACTGCAGTCAATGGAGTTTCACCAGATCAGTGGTGAAAAGGTAAAAGAGAAGCAAGGGTAAAGGCTTCTAGCACTGTTCCAATTTTAAAAGACTAGCAGGGTGCTTTTAATTACTGTATTTGTTAGTTCTAAAGTAAAAGATCTTAACTCATTTAAAAAGCATATTTCTAATAATTTATTAGCTTTTTGGAGCACATTTGCTTTTCACTTAAGTACAGCTCAATGTGGTTGGTTCCATAAGAAAAGCAACTGCATACTGTCATACAATAGAAACATGAAAAAAAAACAAAAAAAATCTGTAAAAAAAACTTATGGAATTTGTTCTATACTTGTGCTTCTTCCGTAGACTTTTCTCCTGGTTGTTTCTTTTGAATACAAGGTTGTATAAGTAAAAATATTATTCCCACCATGTATAGCAAGCCACATATGTAAAAAGAAAAATCATATTTATCTGTGATGTCATAGATCCAACCTGCAAAATAAGGACAAAACATGCTTGTTACAAGTCTTGACAACAAGGTGCGTTGCATGGAAAATATGAAAAATACTGCACATTTCTCTCATTTGACATTGCGGTCAAATCCATAGATATTTTTTGGGAAAAAGAGGTGATTTTTGGGAAAAGAGGCTGATTGTCTCCTCCTCTAGATGCTACAAATGGAAATGTATTAACAAAATCTCTTGTTCATTCACCAAAACTCAAAATCACTGCAAAACCTATCCCCTCATTTAAACATCATGGAGGTGTTAAAATGGGATTCTTGCTATGTGCTATCCTACAAAGCCAAGCAACCTTCTGTCTAAAACTGTACATTTTTCAAATAAGTTATTATAGGTCTGGCTTTAAAATAAACATTTTAAACATTTAAAAACATACCATTTTCTTTGTAAAATGCCTGATACTGCAGGCTACTTCAGATGCTGTGCTTTGTGCAAGCAAACACATTCCAAATAGCTTTCTCAAAGACTCACATACCGATAAAAGACTTTCAAGAGACAGAATCTCAGTACTGTGATGACTCTCATTCCAACCTTAATTCCTTTGCAAAAATACATTAAAGTTATTGCAGAAAGGTTTGAGAACCCAAAATAGCAAAATTCCCTCATGTCATGCTGGTTGCATTGCGATGTAACCTCAAGAACAGAAGTTCTTTTTACATCAACTAGTTGCATCCTACTTGCTTCATTACTAATGACCAAAGACGTGTTCAGCACAGACCGAGAACTGCTGAAAAAATATATGGTAGAGTAAAACACTGCTGCTTTTCAAAGAGCACTAAATGAGCTTTCTTCTAAATTGTGTCAGCTCACTCAGTGGTGGGAAGAGAAGGTGAGAGCATTCTGTTTTTTCTGGGTTGCTTATGCTAATATCTTCAGTTCAGCCTAGCGCCATCCCTGGCTGACCACGGCCATTACTCACAAGGTTTCTTACTGCTTTCTTCTATTTGCATATCTGTAAAAGATAGACGTAGTCTGGCTATGGTATTGACAATCGGTACCTGTATCTCTCCTGTGCTTCCCTGCCTCTTTCTGTGAGAAAATTTATAATGAATGTTTGTTTCAACCTAAGTAACTTTAGGGATAACATACATACACTTCAATTCTACCTTCTCCTGTGGATGGCCGTAAAGAGATTAGGAGCAGTGCAGTCCTCAAAGTAGGTATTTCTGGCTGAAGGAAGGCAAAGCTAAGTTAGTTAAATCCACACGTCCATTGGCAGCTTAAAGGGGTGACACCCAAACACACTTTATAGTTCTTGGTGCTAATACTATGGTATAAACACCTGCCTATCCAGAAAACTATTCATCATTTTTTCATCTAGATAGAGACGAGTATTTATAGTGCATATACTACACAAAACACATAAAAATATGTCAAACCTTTCTTATTTTAAAAAAGTATATTATAATATTTTAAGGAAACATACCATTGGAAGGATAGATTGTTAACAGATTTGGGGTTATTTGCAAGGATGGTAAATTTTACTGTGTGAATAGTGAGCTGGTAGCCAGCAGATGTGATCTGTAAATTTGTACAATGCAAAGCTGGATGTTACAGTCCATTCTGGAGCACCTGTAATTTTGTTAGCTACACGTGCTCATTATATAAGAAAGCTTAATAATATAACAAGCCACACAGTTATTATACAAACATCTGTTGGCTAGAAATTTGAACTCTTTACCTGCAAAGGGTGGTCCAAGCAATGCAGATATTCCGTTGGCACAAATGATGATGCCATAGGCATTTGCAAGGTGTTTAGTTCCAACTAAATCTTCAGTCACAACAGGCATTAGAGAAAAATAGCCACTAGAAAATCCTATTAGAGCACAAACCACAGCAAGGCTCACATACGTTCGCAATAGTGGCAAAGTAAGAATGCAGGTGACCAGGGTAAAGTTAGCTGTGAGGAAGACGTTCCACGTGCTGATGCATGGGAGATCAGAGATGATTCCAAGGATCACTTTACCAAAAATATGAACAATGGCTATAATGGATGTCAAAGGGAATATATTGTTCTGACTAGCTAAGTTGTACTGCTTGACTATTTCTGGAAGATGAATAAAGGGAATGACAAAGCTGCTATAGGCAAACAAAGCCCAAATTATAAAGGCCACAAATACTCTATTGGTAAACAGTGATGCAGTTCCAAAGTAGCTGGAGTACCATATTGCAAAGCCCTTCCTGACTGTAACCGTCAGCTGGCTCACTGTCTTAAGAACACGCAGTCCGTACATATTCTTTCCGCTTCTAGATTTACCTCCAATTTCTGTGTGCTGAACACTGTCAAGCACTTCTTCATTTGTTGCCTCTTCTTTTTTTTCTGTCTCTTCGCTGAAGACTCCATTAGATTTTATAGTCTCTGCAGAATGGGACAGAGCCTTTGCATGGTTATCTTCACTATTACTTCTCACAACACATTTTTCACTAACATCTTTGGGAGAGAGTGGTCTCATAAGCGCCCCACAGACACACAGATTCAGGGAGATGGCACCCTGGATGAACATGGCGTTCCTCCACCCAAATTCAGTGCAGAGGTACTTCAGTAAGGCAGTCATTAGGAAAGCTCCAAAGCCTGTTCCTGTGGTACTGAGTCCTTGTGCAAGTGCTCTTCTCTTCTGGAAATACTGCCCTACCATGACCACCGCAGGCAGATAAACCATGCCACTTCCAACGCCTATGAAAATAAAACCTGAAGTCAATCTGAACTTTTTGACAACAAGATAAAAAGCAGTGAAAAATTAAATCAGTTTTATTCCTAACTTTTGCACAAGCATAGTACTAAAACTGAAAATAAACATTCAATTCTCATATTAAATTTCATTTCTGTCTTGTGGTATGTTCCACAATTTACAACACTAATTTCCAGTGAGAACACAATACTGGTATTTAACTGCTGAAAAAACACATAGAAGATAAAACCTTTGCCTCAGTTCAGCATGACACCACTGGAAAACCCCAAACATCCCACAATAGATTGCTGACAGTTAATATGGTGACAACCATAAACAAACCCCATTTTGAAATATCTGTATTTGTAATTACTTGCATCTGATTGTACCAGCAACCAGAAATTGCTTAGTGGGCACATCCAGGGAAGGCCAGGGAGGGTCACACAACAGCTGCGCAGGCATATTCTTAAAAGGCCGATCTCTAATTCTGTAGAAATTTCCCCACTTACAGTTAAAAAGCAGGGTATTCACGGTGATCATAACTTTGAAGAGTGTCTCAGGCGTAAAAGTTTTCCTAAATAGCCAGTAACATATCTGCATGCAGCTACAGCATGATCTAGCTACAGCTAGATCATAAAAAGAGATGTTACCCAGCAAAACCTGAAAAAAAGCACCTCAGCATCACGGCACTGTACTGTTCTCAGAGCTGACCTGTTTTGCCTGCCAGCAGCATTTTTTGTGAAAAAGCAGTCCAGGCTTGGGCTTGCATTAGCATTTACTGCACTTCCCTGCACATCCTGAGAAATAAGAAATTTTATAAATTGTTTTATGTTTTCATTCTGTGTCTACATAGCAGAACAGTCTAATCGCATGCAGAGGCATGCCACCTGCACAGGTAAACACAGGGCCACAGGCCTCCCCATCCCTTCTCCTCACAGATTTGTCATGCTGCACTACCACAGCTGCGGCAGCGCCAGCTCTGCTCCCCTCTCCACAGGGTACCAGGCACCCACCCCAGGGCTCCCCGAGATGGCTGAGGGGTCGAAGGCTCCTCTGCCCCCCATACTGCCGCTGAGGGGGGGAGAGCCAGCGGAGCTGGGATGAGGCTGGTGGCCAGAAGATGAGGAGCTGCGGGAGAGAAGCCACGCTGAGGTGAGGGGTGCTGCGGGAATGGGAGCTGAGGCGACAGCACAGCTGTGGCTGGGGGAAAGGCTGCGATTGTGGGGACAGGCTGTGTGAGGGCCTCTGGTACCGCTGCCCGCCATGGGGAGAACTGGAGACATGAATAAGCCCGTGAGTGCTGCACAGAGGCCCAGAAGCGATCCCAGTGGGAGGCAGCCACCATAAATGAATGGCAGCCTTTACATTTAACTGCCATGTGAACATGAAGGAAACCTTCCTGAGGTGGAGGTGAGGTGATGGGGAGTGGAGTTGACAATGAGTGAGGGGACAGCGTGTGAGGGGACAGGGAGTGATGGGACAGGGAGTGAGGGGACAGTGAGTGAGTGGACAGTGAGTAAGGGATGGTGAGGGGACAGTGAGGGAACAGTGAGTGAGGGATGGTGACTGAGGTGGTGGTGAGTGAGGGGACAGTGAGGGGGCAGTGAGTGAGGGGACGGAGAGTGAGAGAACGGTGAGTGGAGGTCTCACGGAGCTGGAGGAAACATCTTCAGCATCTCTTCACTGGTTCTCTGGACAGAATTATTCTGACAGCATCTAAATTCTCCGCCTGGTATAAAAATTTGCCTCAGATTTTTTCTGAAAATATTGTTTACACCCCTCTTTAAATCCTCTGTATAATCTCTGCCTTTTTGTCTGACATTTTGTGTGTGCTCTTCTGAAAAGCAGCAAGGGTTGAAAGAAAGAGTGTGCAGATTCCTGTCTGCTTGATTATATTCAATATATGTATGGAAACAGAAATTCCAAAAAGGGCAGAACCCTGCACGGAATTATTGTTCTTTTTTCAGGAATTTACAACATTACTGAAATCTGTGGTGTGGTGGTATAGACTCATCACAGTGATCCTTGCTGGTTTCAATTTTTTTCCATCCAGAGAGCATTATGCACAGAAATTCTGCAGATTCCTGTAAAATTCTGTGAAAGAGTAGTCTGAGGGAGTAGAGGGTACTGAAGCTATTATTAGTATTGCAAACAATTTTTTTCATAATGCTTCTGTTGTCACATATAACATAGATATCATGCTTCATTTACAAACATGACTGACCATGTTATCTGTGGAGTGAATATTTCAAAGCCCCTTGAATTGCTCAGTGTTGCTCAGATAATAACTGAAGGCCAAATTTTGTATTTCTTACTTGGATCACTTTAACATTTTTGTTTCATATCTATTAACAGTTTCTCCTCCCAGAAATGAACAGTGAATAAAATCAAGTAGTGCTTTAAGTAGATAATACTGGGTTCTTCTACATAAGTTTCTTAAAGTAACTAAATTTTTTCACACAAAGCCTCTTTTTGCTAGAAACTGAGCATTCAGGCACTAAGACTTTTCAAGAAAGAAACACGTGCCTTTTCATATTTTGACTGGGCTCTTACACATGCCAAAAGGTTTTCTAGAGATTTAACTCCAATAAAAATGACAAAATATTACTTCTGTGAGTGATTTTGATTGTAAAAAATGTAGCAAAATGAGTTGCTACTTATTAGTGGTTGCTGATGTAATTTGAATACACTTTATTAGAAACAATGTATGAAATACAGCTACATGCATAGTCCTAATTCAGACTGGGAGAGAGTTAATTTCTTTCCCAGTAGCTCACATAGTGCTATGTTTTGGATTTGTGACCAAAACAGCATTGATAACACAGGGACATTTCAGCTGTCGCTGGTCCGTGCTTGCACAGCGTCAAGGCCTTTTCTGTTTCTCACGCTGCCCTCGAGCAAGCAGGCTGGGGGTGCACAAGAAGCTGGGAGGGGACACAGTGGGACAGCTGACCCCAGCTGACCAAGGGGATGTCCCATACCATGCGACATCATGCTCAGCAGTGAAGCTGGGGAAAAGGAGGAAGGGGGGGACATTCAGAGTTACAGCGTTTGTCTTCCCAAGTAATGGTTGCACACGGTGAAGCCCTGCTTTACTGGAAACTGCTAAACATCTGCCTGCCCATGGGAAGTACTGAATTACTTCCTTATTTTGCTTCAATTGTGTGTGCAGCTTCTGCTTTACCTACTAAACTGTCTTTATCTCACTTTTACCCTTCTGATTCTATCCCCCATCCCACTGCAGGAGAGTGAGCAAGCAGCTGTGTGAGGCTTAGCTGCCTACCAGCAATAATCCACAACACCCTTTAAAATGGGTTGTGAAGCAGTACGTAGTTATCATAATCCAGAATTTTATTAATGTGGAGCAACTCCTGCAGAAAACATTTGCAGTTTCTTGCTGGGACAAAGAGAAGAGTTAGCTAGACATATAATTTGACAGTGTTTTAACATTTTTAAATTTCACTTGTTAGAGTTTGGGTTACATTAATTCTTCTAATTACAAATGTCCTCTAATATATTCACTTGGAAGAAACTGATAAAAATACTATCTTCACACAGCAGATTTAACTGACAACAAAAGCCATTGGGCCCAATCCACTGAGTAAATAAGTAAGTTTTCTGAAAAGACAGCAGGCTGTAAAAAGTGTGAAAGAAAAGCTGAAAAAACTTTACAGTCCAACTTCCCTCTTTACTCATCCATATAGCCTTCAAAGGAATAAAAAAAAATTGAAAGAACTTTCAAACTTTTGTGCAGCTCTTACCGGCTGTCACTCCAAATGTAAGGAAGAGGTAGTGCACATTTGAGGCATAGGCACTCAGTATCCAACCTAGGGCGTTCAATATGCCTCCTATTATAGCTGTCTTGCGGCACCCACACATGCTGATGAATAAACCAATGAAAGGACCTGTTAAAAAACATGAAAAAATGTTAAATTATTTATTTAATTCTCTATACTTTTTTTCACTTGAAGATTCTTAATGTTTTAAACAAAATATTAAACATCAGGCTACTCATACAATTCAGTGTATTTTCCCTATTACTGTTTAAGATCATGGAAAGAAAAATTCAACCAGCCAATCAAATACTTAGGAAATACCAGCAGGACCTAAAATCAAAGTTGCCCCATGAAGAAGGGACTGTTTAAACAGAGGAAGAAACTGAAACAGCTGTTCCCAATATTAATTCTGTGTGAGTACAGGTCTTTTGCACCAGTAACTAGAAAGTAAACTTCTATTTTTGTTTTCTGTGGAATATTTTAGGCAGACCTAAATGCAACTTTTTGAATTTTAATTTAGGGAGACAGAGGTGTATATATACATATATACACAAACATACCCCTCCAGATACTATTTTGAGTTGATCCAACCACAACTTAAAAAATAAATTTTAGTTCAGCTGCCAAACTGAAATATAATGTATCCAAATTCAACATTTTCTCCTCTCAGAGCATGGGGAGGACCACAAGCTTCACGGATCATCTGTTTTCTTAATTCTAGTGAGATGTTGAAGTTATAGGCATCTTTTCCTGCTCACGCTGTCTCCTGGAGTAATTTTCTTCTCTATCATCTTCCCTCTTGTTCCCTTTCTCCCTCTAACTTGTAAAATTTGTCCTGGTGACTTTAAAAAGGCAACTCAGGAAAACTTGGGCAGGTCTGCTAATAAAATGGAAAACTGTAAGAAAATATTTGAGGGATAAGTGGCAAACATATTCTAAAAATCTTTGTAGTTTTGAAATAAATTCTGCTGGAACATACCTACAATAAGTGTAATGCCCATGCTGAGGGAGCTAACCCACGCTGTTAAGCCACGACTTTGATTAAACTCTTCAAGCCATTCCATGTTGAGTATTCCAAGGGCCATTTGGGACCCCATGATAAGTATGTGTACAAGAAAAGAGGAAAGTACAATCATCCAAGCCCATCCTCCATCGATGTTTGGATTAGGTTTAATTGGCTTACTTCCAACTTTTGAGTCATCTCCAAAATCATATCCAATATCCTCTCGACTAGCATACATTTTCTGCACAGTATTCTGAAAGAAATGCAGTAAATGCCTTCAAAATACATACAAAATGATCAGATTTTGTATTTTGGTTATAGTGAATAGCATAAGTCACTACCATATTTCACCACTGTGGTATAGTGCAGTTGTAAAGTGAATACTGTATTTTCATTGTTCAAAATGTAAAATGCTTAGAAAAGTCTCTAATTAATGTATTTCTTTGTGTATCTTATTATCATGGCTGTCTATGCAGGAGTATTTACAGGTTGACAGTAGGCTGCATTATTTCCATTACTGTATACTTCACTTACTTGCAGGTGACTGAGAGCACTCACTCTTCATGGGTTGACTGCAGTCACAAAGAAATACTGGTCTCTCTCTGTATATTCTTTCTCTGTATCACCTTCTGCTGTCCCAGTAAGATTATGTGCCTTTGTGTTCAAGTTGATAAAGCTTGGGAAAAAAAAAAAAAAAACAGAAATGCTGAAGAGGCAGGTAGATGACGTTACCATATCTTTCCAGAAGAAATGAGCTTTGAGATGTATTTCTTCCGTAGTAGTGGAAGAAAAAGAGTGAAGTCAGAGAAAGATAAAGATATAAGGTTCCAGATTTTCAGAATGCTTTGCTTACACAAATTACAAGGAGACAGTTACTCCCTCTCTGGCAAGATTTTTATTAGAGTCAACTTGACAAACAGTTTGCTATTATGCTTTCAGTTTCCATACTACTAATCCATATAATCCTACTAAAACCAAAGAATTCTTCCAAATTAATGTCAATGCCTATCAGAATCGAACTGAGTGTCAGAGGTATGTGCATACGTGTATGTGGGATCAGGTCATAATAGCTTAATTTGATTACTTTGATTTTTTCCATGGTTACTCTAAGTGAAGATTACAACACAATGTGAAAATAATTTCAAAACCATTCTTAATTGGTTAACAGGCAAGGTGCAGGACCCAGTCTTGCCTCCATCTGATTTCTGCTGCAACATATTAAAATGTTAACCAACTGTGGAGCACCACATAGGTTTCCATGGAGACTAGAAATGTAATGATACAAATTACCAGAGATGGTAATTTTTTGTCTTCCTTTCTTCTCCAGAAAATAAAAAGAGCCATCAGCTTCACAACAGTCAAAAGAGAGAAGAAAGTTACCAAAACTTGTTTACAAGACCTCGTTATGTATTCTGTGATCCTTGAGAAGGTCTGCCTCAGGGCTAGCTCCTCACTACTGAAAACCAGCAGTGAATCTCCATTCACTAACTCAGATTTTGTACTAACTGAAAATTTGCGCTTTTGTCTTTAAAAACATTAATATATTTTGCTTCTCAAGTTACTACCTTTCCAAACTATTTTACTTTTTCTTTATTGCTAGATAAACACACAATGAAAGCCTTGAAGTATTTTATACTGATATGTAGACCAAGTCAGAGCTGATTGGTCAAAGCTACCGTTTCTTTCACAGACAAGAGTGAACACCTGCCGATGTGTGTAACCTCTCCAAACTGGCTGCTGGGTAAGTTACCTTTGTAGTTAAGTGCCACATATCCCTTACTCACAGTACAGGTAATTGGGTGTAACTAAGGGCAGCCTGAACATGTAGGTTCCTCCAAAAGCATGCTGATTTGCCTCATAGTGAATTGGAGATAAAGTATGTTGTACTCGTGATATCAAATTTTTCATAGATTAATACTCTTTATGGACTAAGTTGTCACTAGCCCTAGCTTGGCCATGGAAGGCATCAATGACACAGTGAGGAAGCAAAAGAACAGTGCACATTTAACACTTGCCACATGAGCAGATAAGCTGGGACCAATTGATGAGTCCACACCTTGGTGCCAGTGGAAACACATACTGCAATGACTTACTGGCTTTTTCTTTCCAAATCTAGAGGCAGAGAGAAGGGGGGTTATGCTTCAAGGTCTTTCCAGAGGTCCTCCAGGGTGTTTGAGGCAGGAAGGGTAGCAGGGGAACACGTCAGAGCGATGCGGTGGTGCAGACTTGTTTTTTAACATAGGACAGCCTGGGACAGCCTTAGTTAAAATTATACTTCAACCTTCCTCTGCAGAGGGTAGGTCTTAAAGATGACACCTCAACTCTTTCCTATTAATGTATTGGTAGCTAGATCCCCCATTGGTATCATTTATAGGACTACTTGTGGAGAATTCAGCCCACTCACAAGAGAAAGAAATACTAACTGCACAAAGGTAATCAAGACAGTGAATAATCATGCTAATAGCAAATAATGAGAAGTAGAAGAATGAAGGAAAATTGCAAGCTGTTAAACATGCTCCATATAAGATTAATGAAAATGTGTGATGGATATGACAGTACATCTTACACAATGGAATACAAAATTATATAACTGAAGATTCAGAGTCAGTATTAAATGTGGAACCTCACCTTTCTCCTTCATGCCTTTGACTGGTTTTGTGTGCACCTAAATACTGATACTCGATACAAAAACTTTCTTCTTTGGACAGGCAATAGATACATATTTTATAGATTTTAAATCATTTAAAGTAAAAATAATTGACATTGAGATGCAGAGATATGACACACATCTTTGCAATCTTAGTGACAGAACGGGCTTAGATTGAAGAGATGCAAGTTAATGTCATGCTTGCATCAAACCCCCACAAATCTTCAGAAAACGCATATATTTTCCCTTTGAACTGGATTCTTGCTTATTTTTACTTTGATACTATTAACTTTCCACTAACATCACAAGTCCAGAGCGAATACACTCAAAAGCAGGGAAGGTCATTTCCAATAATTGCACAAACTCTCAGGCTCTGGGTAAAGCAAGGACTGGATGTCTGGACCCTCTCCCTGCTATTGACTCATCGCCCCATGGCCTACTGCACTCAGGAGAAATGCACTTACCTGGCCTCAGCCTTCTTCCCACACCACGGCGCTGCCAAGAACACAGTATCACGGAAGGCAGAGAAGCCCAAGGGGCTCTTTGCAGTTGTGAAATCCTGGAGAAACTGCAATGAAAATGACAGCAGCTGACTTGTGAAGCCAGCCACATTTCCCCAATGAGCAAGGCAGTGAAGACCTGCTCGCAGTAACAGTGTTTGGAAACAGCCCCTCACAAGGGACTGCACTTAAAGGCAGGAGAATCTGGATTCATGTTTGGTCAGCTGAAGAACTAGATTTTTTTTTTCAGAAAAGCTTTTTACAGCATACGCACACACAGTATGCAGAGCTTTCAGAAGACTGGCCCAAACATTAGTGCCCACACAGATGTTGAGCTTTTTTGAAAATCTGACTCATGAGCTATTTTAGGGACAAATGCAGGTGCTGTAATAAGACTGAAGTTAGCAGCAAAACACCAAAATTCCCTTTACCATCAGTGGAGCTATGGCTTTACAGCTTGTAGTTGAACTGGATCTTGATATAAAAACATCTGATCTTGATATAAAAAGTCCATATGATGAATAATTTACATATACTTCAGTATCATCTCCCAGTACACAATTGCCTCAGTGTAAAAAAAAAAAGCATAGAAAAAAAATTGTACATTAACGGCACTTCCAATGGTTAACTCATAAATAGTAATGAGTTTTGCGTCACAGTATACCCAGTAGACATGCCATATGTAACTTGTCTTTTGAAGACATACAGAAAAAAAATTGTTAAAAACATAGTTTATTTTGGGTGTCATAAGTTTTGTCCATCTAACTTCAACTTGCTAATATGTTGAGCAGTTCAGGGGTCAATGGCGTCACTGGAGATGTGGATACCAGCCACTTCTGCAGATCAGAGCCCTATGCATAAGGGTGCATGCCCAGCGAGGAAGAGAAAATCAGGGAAATTAAATGCTTAAAACACTAAGCTAACCGCTAGGGTCACAAGTTTGCATGAAGTCAGCGGCAGTTCACTTTCCAGACTCAGGTTGCTGCCCTTCTGCCCCTGAGGGCTGTTCCCAGGACCCCGAAGAGGACCTCTCCTCGGTGCCGTTCTTCTTCGGTGTGACCCACGAGTGGTCCCCCGTCCCCGGGGACACCGGGAAGAGGCTCCGATAAACATTTTTCTCACCTTGGTGCCGAGGGAATGGGCAGCTTGCACCAGGTGCTGTACCTCTATTTTATAAACCGTGACAGACTGTTACCGGAGCAGCCCGAAGGCTGGGGATGTACTTTTTCCCCCCAAGATGATAAATCTGGGAGCCTTACACGTTCCGCCCTCCCCAACACCCAGGTTAAGCTCATCTATGCAAAACACCGCTCAGGCG